AAATCTTAGCATCATGCAATATACCCATGTAATAAACCTGCACATATGCCCCCTGAATCTAAAATAAAAGCTGAAATTATTAAAGAAAAAAGCTTCTAAAAAAATTCACCAAGAGTAGTTTCTCCTTTAGAGATAATTTGGGAGGACCAAATAAGGTAATGTTTATTACAGTACTTAACATAGGACACTATATTAATATAAACTTTAAAAATTAAACTTTTAAAGATAATTGTATATTAATATGCAGTTGTAAGAAATAATGGAGAGGTCCTATGTCTCTTTTACCCAGTTTCCTCCAATGATAGTATTTCACAGAAATTTAATACAATGTTACAACCAAAGTGTTGACATCAATACAGTCAAGATTAATGTAAAATTTTTAAGTTGTAGGAAGTGTTACATATGCCATATATAAATAACTGGACATAAAGTACTATTACATGTTCAAATGTATCCTTTCTAGAATGCTTGACATTTAGGCATTAGGTCAAAATAATCTAGATATCAAAACTAGGCAGAGATACTGAAGTAAAACCATTTACAGACTGATCCCTCATGAATGTAAATGCCAACATTTAAAAATAGTAAATGAAATCCAGGAATATGTAAAAATACATCATCACAATTAAGAAGTATTTATTCTGGAATGTAAGGTTAGTTTGCCATTTGAAAATCAATGCAATTCACTATATTAATAGAACAAAGGAGAAAGATCATAATAATCTTGATAAGCACAGGAAAAGTATTTGATAAAATTCAATACCTATTCATGATAGAAACTCTTAGCAAACTAGTTTATTGAAGGGAACTTTATTAATATGTATGAAAGTTTTATTAAAAACCTGGGGAAAACTTTATGCTAACTGGTGAATTATTGAAAGCTTTCCCTAAGAATCAAGAAACAGAAAATAATGCCGGTCACAACTTCTACTTATCTTTATACTAGAGCTTCTAGTCAGTACAGTAATAAGGAAAGAGAAGTAAAAGGCATAAGAACTAGAAAGGAAGGAATTAAAATGTCCTTATTTGCTGATATGGTTTGGATGTTTGTCCCTTCCAACTCATATTGAAATGTAATCCCCATGTTGGAGGTGGGGCCTCGTGGAAGGTGTTTGGGTCATGGAGGCAGATCCCTCTTACATGGCTTGGTGCCCTCCCCATGGTAAGAAGTGAGTTCTTGCTCTGTTAGTTCACATGAGAGCTAGTTGTTTAAAGGAGCCTGGGTCCTCCTCTTCTCTCTCTCTTTCTCCCTCTCTCACCATGTGATATGGCATCTCCCCTCTTCTCTCTCTCTTTCTCCCTCTCTCACCATGTGATATGGCATCTCCCCCTTTACCTTCTGCCATGATTTAAAGCTTCCTGAGGCCTTACCAGGTGCAGATGCCAGCACCATACTTCTCACATAGCCTGAAGAACCTTGGGCCAAAATAAACCTTTTTTCTTTATAAATTACTCAGTCTTAGGTATTCCTTTATAGCAATGCAAAGAGACTAACATATTTCCAGATGACATGATTGGGATGCAGAAAATTCAAAAGAATTTACAAACTGTTGGCATTAATAAGTGAATTTAGCACTTATTGCTGGATATAAGGTCGATATATATAATAGTCAATCATATATATACCAGAAATAAAACAGAAAATGAAATTTTAAAATAAGATTACCACATACAAAGGAGAAAAAGAAATACTTAAATCTAAAGGAAGATGTAGAAGACCACTACTATGAAAACTACAAAACATTTTTCATAAGAAATAGAGAAGACCTAAATAAATGGAGGGATAGATCATATTAATGGATTGGAAAACAATATTATAAAGAAATACATTCAGCCTAAATGTATCTATGAGTTAAATGAGATTCTAACTAGAATTTCAGCCCCCACTGTTTTTTTTTTTTTTTCCTTGAGTCAGGGTATAAGCTGATTTTGCGATTTATATGGAAAGATAGACAAGTCCATCTTAAAGAACAAAGCTGGGCAATTTGCACTACTAAATAATAATATTGACAGTCAGAGTTGCTTAAAGCAGTGAGATATCTGTGCAAGTATAGACAAACAGTAATAAAATAGAACATGGTCCAGAAACAGCCTATATATTATACTGTCACATATACAAAATTACAATACCTTTTCCACCGGAATGGCTAAAATGAAAAAGAGAGACAATATCAAGCATCATTGAGGATGGCCAAAACTGGAACTCCTACGTACTGCTGGTGAGAAGGGAAATTGTTAACAACTACTTTGGAAAACTGGAAGTAACTACTAAGGCTGCATATCCTATGTCACAGGAATTCCACTTCTAAGCACAGTTGAACAGATCTGCGTACCTATGTCCATTAAAAGACATACACAAGAATGTTCATAGCAGCACTATTCACATTAGTCCCAAACTTGAAACAACCCAAGTATCCATCTAAAGCAGAATAAATTGAAGTACATTCATGCATTGGAATATTGTTATACAGCAATAAAAGCAGAAGAATTATAACTGTATGCAACAATATGAAATATTCTCAGATTTGTAATGTTGAATAAAAGGAGCCAAATACAAAAGAATATAGGTTTGAATCCATTTAAGTTTGAAAAAAGGCAAAACTAGTCTATAACGTTACAAATCTGGACAGTTGGGCTGAGATTATAGCATCTTGAAGTGGGTATAGGAAGGCTTCTGGGGTCTTGGTAACATATGTTACTTGGTCGAGATACTCTTTACAAGGATGTGTTCCCTTTGTGAAATTCATTGAGTCACATGCTTATGTTTTGTGCACTTTTCTGTATGCATGTTAGACTTAAATAAAAAGTTTAAAAAATTACCAAATTGTTCAGATTATCATCATCCAGCTTTTCCTTTGGCAACTCTTGCTTTTAACTATGGTGACAGTATTTATGTCTGATGCTTTTTTACAGACTCTCCCATGTAAATGGAACTACTCTTTTGCTGTCTTACATAATTTGGCTCCTTGCTTGCATCAAAGAACCACTTTGAAAGCCAAAAATTTAATAACTTTCAGCTTTGGGATAAGTTTAAGAGAATAATTGAATTAAATTGAGGGAATTTGAGAGAAAATTAGCTTTCCCCAGCATGATGTGGGCTGGAAAAAAGAACTAGGCAGAGACCATGATGAGGAAACCAGAAATTCTTTGCTAATTCCATTTGGAATTCTGAGTGAGAATCACCTAGTTTTCTGCAGCAAAACTGAGTAGAACATTCATGTAATAGGGCAACGTCTTGAAAGTTACTGATGTTATTTAATAGTATCTTTGTCAAAACATAGTAATCTAGGTCAAAGTCTGAGGCCTGAGAAAAGAGAAGTAACAGGGTATCATTGAAATATATATTTGCTAGAAATGACGCAGGGCTCAAAGTGGGTACACTAAGCTTTCTGGCTAGGAATTATCCGCTGGCCACAGTAACCTCATCAGAGAATATATAGGAAATGAGATGCATTTTGGTGAATCAGGGAGTTTCTTTGTTTTGCTGAAATTTTGTGATAATCTCTTCACATTCTCTTTCACTGTTACTATTTTTAGATAGCTTTAAAATGCAAAGATGGCCTTCATGATATCTGATATCCTGGAAGAAAAGGCAGGGTACAGGACAGCTAAGGAAACATCCCAGAAAACTGGCTATGACTTAACTTCCTACTGTGTTTTCCTAAATGGCTAGAGGGATGGGGATGGAGGATATTTCCCCATCATATAACATCATCATTTCTATAAACATGGTATGCTTTCATCATTTAGTTAGAAGTGACTTCTCATAGCAAATATAAATTGTACTTCACAGAGTTGTGGTGAAAATTAGTTATCTGTAACTTAGCATTCAATAAATATTAGGTGCTATTAGTAGTAGTAGTTCACACATTAATATCCCTCCCTAGCAAGTAACAAGATATAGTGATAGGTCAATTACAGTTATTCTTATCCAATACTGCATTAATAGTGAGTATTCCTTATCCATTAGAAACGGAGATATGAAAGTGGTCTAATCAATTTGGAACTCTTTCAGGATGGGGGAAGGAGAATGGAATTATCTTGCTAGTACCTGTTGGCCCTGGTATTCAGGTTTAGAGCTACCCTGCTGGAATGGCTTTGAGTCCTTCAGTACCACCTTGAAGATTAGATCTATGTGGTGGTGTCAGAAAGAAGCTGACAATTGGTCCCTTTGGCTGCAAACAGCATTACAAAAACAAAGCACAAGATCTGTCAATGGAGAGGCTTGTATAAGATTTTTCAAGCACTTACAAAGTGGAAATCTTTTTAAAACTTGTTTCAGAGGAGTTCCACAGAAGAATGAATTCTAGTACAATCCTGAGGGTTCTTTGCCTAATTTAAGAATAATAAATACTCAGTAAGAAAAGGAATTGGATTTCTAAGTATCAATATTGCTCAATTTAGAGGCATTAGATAAACTGAGGTGAAAAAAAAGATGTTAGTGTTAATATTACAATACTTTTTATAAACTTTCATTTTTTATGTTATAAAATTTAAAGGAACTTTTAAATTCATTCTAAGGCTTCTGATCTGTCTTCTTTAGAATACTACAGTTTAAAATGATTCTAGCAGCTTCTAAAGAAAAACAGATCACCTATCAAACCCAAACTCCCATATGAAATACTTTGCCCGATATAGGAGAGAATTCTTTTGAGAAATGACATGTCTGTGTATAAAGGATTATATAAATTTCTGTGTTGGTTAATTTTAATAACAACAGTATGATAATACTCACAAAATCTTATGAAAAGAATATCCTTTTGACTTTCTGCTAAATGATGACAATAGTAATCACTGATTAGAAATTTTCACATAAACACAATTCCAACTTGTATATCAATACTGTGCTGTTTGTCAAGGCTTAATTCTTCTTTTTATAAGGCACTGTCTTTACAAACAAAGTAATTCAAATTAACCAACCATGTCCTCCAAATATAAATAGAAATGATACTAACTGTTGATTAAAATAAAAAGCACTTAAAAATAGCATTAATTCTTACCAACTCCAGAGGTTATTGATTCTGCATCAATGTCACTAGCTCTTTTTCTTGCCACTTCAGCTAGTGCCAATTCACCTTTATCTAGTGCAAGGTAATGAATATCCTGAGGAAATAAAGCAAAATAAAAGATTGATTCAAAATGAATCTTGCTCAAATTACAAAGAGGATTTGGAAAGAAACTTATTGTTCAGATTACAAAATAGAAAGTTTGTAAATATTCTTTTCTGTATTTTAAGTTTCTTAGTTTTCCAGTATAAGCAAATTTTTCTGAATTGGAGATCACAGCTATAACTAAAGGCAAGTATTTAAATAAATTATTTTAAGCTGTGAGGGAAAATACAAATTTTTAATAAAGTCTTTGACATACTCAGTTTTGTCAGGGAATAAAAAATGTTAATTGCTATTTTTCTTTTGTAAGACATTAATATCCGAGGGTGTGTCTTCAGATTTTAATTGCATATTATGCTAAGCACGATACAAGGGATACTAAACAGATTCGTTGCTGTGTCTGGCATATATTTGTTATTATTAATATTACTAGTATTATGAAATAAAATAATTAGTACCAACTAAGTGCTGGGCACTGTTTTGGAGTATGGCGATCAATTATAATACTGTATCTCAAAAAGCTGTATGCCCAGTGGGGAGAGAGACCACTGTAAACCAATAGTTAATTACAAAAAAGTATGATAGATTTTATAGCACATATGTGCAGGATGCTGTGGAACCAAAGAGGAGGAACTGATCTCTGATGGTAGTCTTGAAGGGTGAATAAGAGTTACTATAAGAGGGGGAAAATGGAGAAAAGGTGACAGGGAATGAATGATGTCTGGTGCAGACATGCAGAGAAGCCTGAGAAAACACAACTCTCAGACAATGACAGATCTTTCGATATGGAAGGAGTGTTGGATGTGTAGGAGAAAGCAGTGAAAAGTAATACTGAACAAGTGGAGTCACTAAAAAGGATTTAGATCTCTTTTTGCTATGCAGAATGATTGTTGGAATGAAAATTTTATTGAAATAAAAATGGGGAAAGAATATGAACAACCACTTACAGTGAAGAAATAGATATAAATGGCTTATAATCATTAAAAGATATGTGACCTTATGTAAATAAATGCAAGCTGAAAAATGTAATTTCAAATTGGATAAATCTTTAAAAGTAAATAATAATTACAGGTTGCAAAGTTTTGGGAAAACAGGCATGTAACACTTACTGGGAATATAATTGGTTAAGACTTTATTTATTTTTTGAGACAGAGCCTCACTCTGTTGCCAGGCTGGAGTGCAGTGGCATGATCTTGGCTCACTGAAACCTCTGCCTTCCCAGTTCAAGTGATTCTCTTGCCTCTGTCTCTTGAGTAACCGGGATTACAGGCATGCACCACCATGCCTGGCTAGCTTTTGTATTTTTAGTAGAGACGGGGTTTCACCATGTTGATCAGGCTGGTCTTGAACTCCTGACCTTGTGATCTGCCCACCTCGGCCTCCGAAAGTGCTGGGATTACAGGTATGAGCCACTGCACTAGCCAAGGGTCAGTAAGCTATGGCCCATGGGCCAAATCTAGCCTGCTTTTGATACAGTCCTCAAATTAAGAATGGTTTTTACATTTTTAACGGTTGGAAGAACTGTGCTCAATCACTGCTATTGAACACTGAGTGGCTTTGAAATTAGCTTTTGCTGCAAATTTGAAATGGTTTCAAGCTAAAGTTACAAAGTAAAACAGTGCTTATATGTGAAACTTATATGTGAAACATAATGTGATAAAGTCATTTCAATGAGAACATTGTTTGAATTGCAAGTAATGTCAGGCTGCATCACATACTTCCTGCACTGTCGAAAGGTTTTTTTTTTTTTTTTTTTAAATCATCTCCATTCCTACACAAATTTTCAGCAATATATTTTCTGATTTCAAATTACAGCAGTGTTTTTCAGACCTTGATGCAAGTGCAAAGGAAATTTACATATTCCAAAATCCATTTAACTGTGCAATTGAGGAACTTTAATTGGAAGTGATTTGCAATGTAATGACATGCTAAAAGGCATTCTAGCCTTTTAGCTAATAGAATTCTAAAAATGCCTGCCAGTCTGTTGAATATACTCAATTAAAAGCATATACTCATGGATTGATATCGGTATTTGGCAGTACTTATATATGTGGAAAGACATTTTCAAAGGTGAAATATGTAAAATCTCATTGTAGATAAGCATTAACAGATGAACGTTAGCTAAAGATTTTGATAGGAAACACCAGCTTTCAAACCCAATTAAGTGAAATGTTACCTCCTCTGAAAAGGATTCCATTCTTCACATATGTAGAGCTATATCACAAAAATTGTACTCTTTTAATTTCATCAATAAAGATTTATGGAAATTTTCTGTCTTGTTATATAAGTACCTACATAATAACTTCAGTTTTGCCTCTTGGCTCACAAATCTCTAATATTTGCTATCTGGCCCTTTGTAAAAAAGTTTGCTGTACCTGTATTTTAACAATGTATCATAATTTAAAATATACTTTTGGTAAATCTTCCTAAGGAAATGATGGGACAGTATCCAAGATTGGTAATTAAAGCACTGTTTATAACAGTGAAAAACTGGAGGCAACTTAAATGTACAATCAAAATAATATGTGGTTTTTAATTTTTAATCCAAGAATAGCATGATACTTTAATAATAGATTCTTATATTCAGAGAAGAATTTGGTAAGTTGAAAATATATACTTTTTTCAACTTTGCAAATATTTAAGATTTTTACATCTATGCTCTTAAGAATAGTCTGTGACTTTGTTTACTTGAACTGCCCTTGGCTGGTATCAAGATTACACTGGTCTTATAAAATGAGCTAGGTGGCTTTCCCTGTTTTCTGTTCTTTGATAAAATTTGTATTTATTATTGAAAGCAAAAAATATGCAGTACATTTGAGAAGATATTACCAACCATTACTAAAGAACATAAATGAACATCTGATTAAAATACAGACATACACATGCTTATATCTAGGAAGACCATACATTTATAAAAATTTCAATTCTGACCCCATATATTCTGTAAAACTCAGTGGAGTTCTAATCAAAATCCCTTCAACTTGATAAATTGATCTTAAAATTAATATGTCAAAACAAATGGTGAAGAATATCTAAAACTTATTCTAGTTAATTTTAAAACTATAGAACAGTGATATACAGCCATATAAACAAACAAACAAAAAAACATACCCATATGTAGATGGTTCTATTTGTGGTACCATTATGAGTACTTTATGTTTAGAAGTAAGTGTGGGCTATAAGATCTGTGGTCAAATTATTTCTGGAAAGTTTTCTGTCTCTCATTTTTGCATTCTTCCTTAATTCTCTGATTTCTCCCCTGTATTTAAAAAAATAGTTCTAGGGAATTGGGGTCATCGATTTGAAGAGGGCAAATTAAAACATAAAAATAAAAGAGATCGTGCTTTACTTTGCCCAGGCTAGATTCAAACTCCTGGGCTCAAGTGAACCTTCTGCTTCAGTCTCTTGAGTAGGTGGGACTAGAAGTGCTAGCTAAGAGGGCAAACATTAATAGTTCTTAAATTGATATTATATCTCCCCCATGAAAGTTTTAATTTCATAATCTGTTTGGAAACATGCTATGCAGTCCATTTATTTGCTGATTCACCTGTGGACCTCCTCATTATTCATATATTTGAATGTGGACTTAAGCAAAATGCATTCAAGAGTATATCTCTATAATTCCATGCCCCTCAGTCTGACAGAGTTAATTAAGCTTTAGAATCTGGTGAAAGACATATCTAGTATCTATATCACCTCTCAAGTGGCTATCTTCTGACTTTGTTTAATAATTTTTGATAGATTTAGCCTAGGAATTTAGTTTAAATGTTGGATTTACACAATTAAATGCTATAGTGTGAATGTCCCACTAAAACACATGTTGAAACTTAATTGCCAGTGCAATGGCATTGGAAGGTGGGGCCCTTAAGAGAGGATTAGGTCATGAAGGCTCTGCCATCATGAATAGATTAATGCTGTTATCACAGGAGTGGGTTAGTTATCAAAAGAATGGGTTTGTTGTAAAAGTGAGTTTGGCCCAATTTCCTTTCTCTGTCTCATGTGTTTACTCTGCCTTCCACCCTTCACCATGGGATCACTCTTACCAGATCCCAGCACCAAGCTCTTGGACTTCCCAGCCTCTAGAGCTGTTAACTGAATAAGTCTGTTTTCTTTATAAGTTACCCAGTCTGTGGTATGCTGTTGTAGCAGCAGAAAACGGATTAAGACAACAAATATCTGGGAAATGGTCATAGTCTAAATGAATCAAGAAAATAAAACCCATTTGGCTGTATATTTCATTTTTATGTCCTTTACCTGGGTAGGCTAGCACATACAGGAATAATGGACATGGAGTAAGCTCATTGAGACTAATGCTAAGGTACTGTTAAGTCTAAATATACTGAAGAAATTGCAAGCAAGTGGCCCACAAGCAGGGTAGTCATACTCATTGTAACATTAGTTTTAATGAACAGTTATTAGCTAATCAAAAATCATTCCGCAAATAACTATGCAACGTTTACTGTGTGCCAGATACAGAGATGAATTTTCCATGAAGCTAATGAAGCTTAAGCTTCATTACCTCTTACTTGTAGAAGTCCTTTGTGGTATCTAATTTTGTATCTGAAAATTTAAATTCTTTTTCTTAAAAAAAAATTCCTCAAATTATATCAGCTTCAGGCCCTGTAAAAGATGGATGTACCCCTGGCCAGATGCCTAGCTATCATGGTTCTAACAGACTAGTGGACTATGTTACTATATGTTACTTGTTTAGAATCACTTGTCTGGAAGACCCAACTATATGCTGTGCATACGAGGCTCACTTCACCTCTGAGGACACACAGACTCAAAGTAAATGGATGGAAAAAGATATTCCATTCAAATAGAAACGGAAAGATTGGAGATAGCTATACTTCCATCAGACAAGATATACTTTTAGTAAAAAGGCTGGGCATGGTGGCTCACACCTGTAATCCCAGCACTTTGGGAGGCCGAGGTGGGTGGATCACGAGGTCAGGAGATCAAGACCATCCTGGCTAACATGGTGAAACCCCGCTA